ACTCATCTGAGCCAGCCTCAAATTTCAGATTAAAATTCCTTCATCCCGAAGGCAGCATTATCAGGTTGTTGGAGGCTGTTTTCAAACCTTGGTTTTGAATAGCAGCGGCTCTGCATTAATTTAACCACTAAGCTAATAAGTAGGTTTCGTTTTGTTATGCTAAGCTTTATTGCTTTTCTTTTGATCAGAATGGTGTTGTTGAGCAAAGCAGCAGACAAGGCATTCTTTGATGAGGGAATTAGCGCTCCATTCTTCCTCTATTATTCATAGCGCAGTGGAATATGTAAGTACCTGCCGGTGTCAAAGGCGCGCAGGTTCTATTGCAAAGTGCTCGCCTTGTTTCTCTCAATAGCTGACTATGAGATGATAAACCGCTTAATACACTGTGCTAATTGGATGAGAGCAAAAAGAGATGGGAATTAAGGCGAGGCAAAAGGAGAAAGTGCAACCAGCCTTCAATTCACTCTTTCACTACTTTAACAGCTCCAAAGGAGGCACAAGCTTTCTATAAGCAGACTAGAGGTTTTGTGCAGAGATAAAATGAACGTGTTAGTGGATTCAAGTAATACACTAATTATTGCACAGTATAAATACCACTACTGGTTTTATAACAGGGAGGTAAACTTCTTTTGAGAGGGTTATAGGATTGCTTGGCAGTGGTGTAGAACCTAATAAGGGCCCAGAGTAATAACCCCCTGGATTAACAAAATTGCTGCTTGTAGAAGTATGATTCAGGCTTTTACGAAGATTTCCGGAGAATGAATAAAAATGACTGAATGACATTTCTTAATGTATAACTGGTAATCGCTCCCTTTTCTTTAAAGAAAAAATGTATACTTCAAACTGGACTGTTAATAACGTCCAGGGACAACACGACTTTTTCCTTTGAAAAATGCTTTTTCCCCCTGTCAGGTAGTACGTTTTCCTTCCCCACCCCCAGCCAGGCTGCCACTGTCAGTTCAATATGCGGTTGCTTCAAGGAACTCTGTGTTCCAAAACACCATTTTAGGCTCCATTTAAGACCCCCTTCACGACCCACTCACTTTTGTGTATACACACACACACACATGCTCCTGTTCAGTATTTCCTCTAAAGGCAAGGTGGGCTAATCCATGTATAATACAACCATATATAATTCCTTTCCTTTAATAAACATCAGCCCCCTTTTCCATTCTGGTAAGATCTTCACGTTCGAAAATGATGCTAAAAAGGAACCAACAGGTGCATTGACTCGATATGAGAGAAAACATCGGTAAGAAGTGTCTGCCCCAGTTAGGGATGGGGAGAATAAGGGAAATGATGGGTGGTGGGGTGATTTACGTCTACAGCTGTGTAGGTGCCTGGTGCTACCAAGCATTTCCAGCAGTCACACTGTGTACTTCATCCACTTGCTACCATCCTCACCACACATGGTGAGATGTCCACCACTGACCACAGCCCGGCCCTAGGTGATGGCAAAACGCTCTGGAAGACATTCGGCAACTGCTCTCTTCTTGCCCCCTCCACACCTGTCTGCACGGTTGCCAAAATACTCCTTTCCATCAATCCTCCCGCAGAGCCATCACCCCAAGTACATGTGGCGGTGGCCCCAGGAAAGCAGGTGTTGGACCCGGGTGTGATGGACACAGTCTTGTCCTGTCTGGGCTTTCTCCAGCTCCCTGGGGCTATGCTCATCCTAGTCCTCCATGGTGGAAGAGGTTTGCTTAAGGTGGCGGGGGAGGGTCAGCCGCTCCCAGCATTGTGATGGCGTTCCCAGATATTGGGGCCAAATTGGGTTGCCATTCATTAATAATGCTCACAATAAGATTAAATCATTCTGGAAAATCTCATAAAATCCCCCTAAGTACGCTCCAGTGGCTCTTTCCAATCCCCATCATTCAGCACTTGGGGAGGTTGGGAAGGAGAAGAAAATTGGTTTCTTTGCTTTTTAATGCTGCTTTGAAAAGATACTCAGAGTTTGTCATGCGTGACATGTCACATGTTTAATGTGGACTTGCTGGAAGTCAGGGGGTCTTTAGCGTGTGATATTTATGGGGAATATTAAGTGCAGAATGAGGTCCTTCCAGCTGGGGAAAGTTGAAAGAATAGGAGGCCCAGGACTGGGCTTGTTTGCAGCATCAGAATGACATAGGATTAGGAGTTTGTAAAACAAGGCGAGGGGTTCTCATTGGCTAGTAATAAATGTAATCCTTGGAGGTAATTTCACGCAATTTGCTTCGACTCTATGGAAGGGTCAAATGAGAAAAAATGACTTAAAAAAGAGTTCATTAACAGGAAGAATGGTACTGTTTCTCCTATACCATCCAACTGGCAGCCTGGAGGGGGAAAAGGAGCCCTACTAGACAAAAAGCCAACATCGATGGAAAATTGATATTGACCACAGAAAAGAAGGAAAAAGAAAAGGCAGCCCTCCTTTCCCTGCTCGCGCTTACCTAGCACTGCTTTCCATCCCAGACTCCCCAGCGGCCCTGTCTGCTCCCCAGCCCAGCCCTACCTGCTGCCCCTGAGCAGCTTTCCCTCCTGGCAACCCTCTGGAGTCTGAAGGTTGGAGACTCTCAGGCCTCAAGGAATGCCCTAGAAAGTTCCAGAGGACCTACTAAACTCCGGAGCGGAGTGCGTGGTGGGAATGGTAATTGGAGGTCACTCAGCAGGCCTCTGCATTCTAACACCAGCCACGGTATCCCATGGCCAGGGCTGGATGACAGTGACCCACTGGATGGCTGAAGTCCAAGAAAAAGTCTCTCCCTGGCGAGCCTTTCAAAGTTTTCACCAGGCGCGGGGTTCGGGATGTGTGGGTCGGGCGGCCAAGCAGAGGAGGCGCGATCTGAGAGCCCTAGCTGTGGATCGAGCTGTCCAGCGACCCCGGCCCCCAGATGCCCGCAGTGCCAGGTCAGCCGCTGACCTCTGCTGGACCCTGCACTGTGCCCAGGGTTGGCTCCCTAGCGTTTCCGGGCACGGAGCCCTCCTGGGTCCCAGCCGGGAGATGTGAGCACGGCGACCGAGCCGAGCGGCCACTCCACGGAGTGGCGGGATGGGGTGGCAGCCCCAGCTCCATGAACCACAGCACGCTGCGCCAGCCCCCCGCCCCGCGCCTGCCCCTCTCCCCAAAGGTCCGGCGCGCTAATTACTGCAAATTGAAACTAATTAAGCTTCTCTTCCCTTTCCCATCACCCTGGGAGCGTTGGCGAGACCCAGCCCCCGCGGGCGGGCTTCCACCAAGCGGTCAACCAAGGGGGCGCTGGCAGGACCCGGGGGAGGGGGAGCTCCGGTGCCCTCAGCGGGGAGGGGTGCGCCCAGCGGATTGAACTTGCAGATCTGCTTGGATCTGCTCTGGAAACCTGAGTTGTTTATTTTGTTGTTGTTTTTTAATGTATACATTTCCCAATGCCTGGATAAATGATGTAATGACATTTGTCGAGTTAAGATCTGCCACCTGGATACCCCTCGCTGCCTTTTTATCACTTTCTGCGACTCTCTCTCTCTCTCTCTCTCTCTCTCTCTCTCTCTCAGACACACACACACACACACACACACACACACACACACACACACACGCCCTCCTCCCTGCTCGAGAACCCGCCCCCTCGGAAGGGAGCGCCTGGGCTTGTAGCTGTCATCTCGGACTGCCACACTTCCATGTTACCTGGCACTTCCTACCAGCAACTTCCTTCCCTTTCCAAGCCAAGTCTCTGCTCCAAACTTCAGACTTCACTCTGCCAGCATCTACGCCTAGCACACACTCTTGACACCCACCACCCACCACCCACTCCACCTCCGTGGGCCCCGAGAGACCCCGAAGTGCATTGGAAGCCCCCCCCCCCCCGTAGAAGTCTTCACATTTTGGAAAACCCCACCCTTAGCGGATCGTTCTCAAACCAGGGGGTCTCTGCCAGGAAAGCGTGCTGCCAGACAAACTCAGGAGAGGCCTGGGGGTGGCACTCCCTACCCCGGAGAGGGGGGGGGTCCCTTCTACCGTCCCCTCAGCGCCTGCGTAAAGCATTCACACTTCTGTTTGTTAAACATATATATATTTTTTTTATTTTGAGCGTGACACTTCTCCACTAGATAGCAAGGAAAAGTGATAACAATTACACATTACACAAAAGTACTGTACCACTGCCTTTATCTTGAAGGTTTCGGAAGCCTCTACAGTTAATAAGTTAAATAAAGGGCTTGAGTACATAAATATTTGTCTAGGAACCCTACCTTATCTACAACACTGTAAGAATCTACAGGAGGACAAACTTTTACCATACCACGCTGAGTGCAATTGCGTTATAACATTTCAAATATACAAAGCTCTGTTCTTTTTTTTTTTTTTAATAACAATGGTATGTACAGAATCAATAATCACAGTTTGGTGACTTCAACAGTCCATATTCTAGCAGAGTATTTCCCTTTGGTTTGATATAAAAACCTTGGTTGGTATATGATAAAGAAGAGAAGAACAAGACGTCCCTTGCCTTAAGTGCACTGTTAGCTATCTTCCAGACTCGCATTCGCTGCCCAGCCCTGGCTTCACGCAGGGGCGCATGCTGGGGCGATCAACTTAGAGCGCCAAAATGCTACTTAGAGGGGAAAAAAAGTAGTAGTAGGAGAAGAAGGAGGAAAAAAGAAAGGCTAAGTGGGGTGTAGGGAGGAAGAAGGGTTGGGCTTTTCAAATGCTTCATTTTAATATCAGACGTCTTGCGGAAAAAGCTCCCCCCTGTATTTTCAGGAAAGAACTGGAGAGGATGGAGCGAGGTTGACTGGGACAGGGGCAGGGTGACCGGGGCAGGAGTAGGGACAGCAGGAGGAGTAGGGGTAAGAGCCGGTGGACAGCCAGCCGAGGAGGTGCCACACCCGGTTGCACCGAGGGCTGCCTTGCTCGCGTCCAGGCGGCTGCGCGCTCTCAGTGCCGTCTCGGGAGTGTGCTGGTCCTGTTTCCATTTGGTCTTGAGTGGTGCTGAGTGAGGTGACCTTTCTGGGCGCGCGGGGGGCGCGAGGGGCGGGGAGAGGCCTTAGCACACCTCCTTGCCCGTGCTGGTGCCCGGCAGGATGTTGAGCTGCGTGAGCTGAGCGGCGTGCTCCTTGGCCTTGAGCCTGAGCGCGGCTATGCTGGAGGCGCGTCTGTCTGCGGCGGCCGTGGCCGGGTCGGCCAGTGCGCCCGACGCCACCGCGCCCTCCACGGCTGGTGCGGGCTGTCTCAGGAGCGCGGCTGCGGTCGACGCACTGGTCAGGGGCGCCATGGTCGAAAAGAGCCTGCGGGGAGAGCAAATGGCGAGGTCAAGCCCTCGGGGAACTGCCCTGGGAGCTTCTCCCCCAAAGGCCCCGGCCTCAGTGAGGTGGGCTGGAGTGGGGGGAGAGGGGACCAGCAGGCCACAAGATTCCCAGAGCAAGGCTGTCCCGCGCGCGGTCTGGATTGCGTGGTTTCGATTAAGAAGGGGCAGTGGGGTGGGATAGGCTAAGGTTCGAGGGTCCGTTTATACTGTTTACCAGGAAAAATTGACACACGGCAGAGGCAAAAAAAAAAAAAAAAAAGGAGGGAAGGGAAGGCACAGAGAAAGAAGAAACAAAGTGGGGCTAAAGACTGTTCCACACCCAAGCTGCCCTAGATGGCCCACAACTCTGGCCTCGGAGGAGCCAGTCCGGCTTGCCCGCCTGGCCGGCCAGCGCAACACCGCCCTCCTTCAGTCGCGGAGCAGCCAGCGTCCGGGCCAAACTGGCAGGGCGCAGGCGGAGGGCGGCAGCCTGTTGATTTGGGCTCACCGGCGGCCCGGCGCCCCGGGCAGCGCCACCCCTTCCCAGCGCCGCCTCCGTGCGCCAGCAGCCTCTCGGTCCAGAAGTCCCGACGCTAGACACCTCCTCCCTACACCCAGCCCCCTTAAACTGGGAACTCCTGCCTGTGGCTGCCCCAGCGGTGCTGCCTCTGGGCGGTGCCGGGATTACACCCTTTTTACCCCGCACCGCTGATCTCCTGAGGAGGCATGAGCCAGCCCTGGGCACCCCACACCCCGCTCCACTCCCCCTGCCTCGGAGCGCTCTCGGGGGTTTCCCAGCCGCCAGCCCGGACAGCTCTGGCTCCAGGCCCCCGCAGGGCCAATTCGTGACTTTCAGGATTAGACTAAAGCCCAACTGGGCTCCTCGGGCGCAGCCGCCTCCTCCCCTTTCTCCCTTCTCCTGCCTGGACCACTCTCCCCTCCTTTGGCAGCCCCCACCGCAGCCGCGGTGCGCCAGGGTTTACAGGGCTCTGATATCTTTTTTCCAAAAAGAAATGATAAAGTGAGACCCGGAGGTAAACTGAGTCACTAGCTACACTTGAGTGCACCCGCTCTTTATTTTATTGATGCGTTACAAGAAACTAATTCTGCTTCACGTTGTTGTTTTGCCATTTTCTGTTAGAGGGTGTTTTTTTTATAAGTGTTGTGCAGTTAGGTAAATGTATTATTTCTTCTCCCAAAGAGAGATTCCTGAAGCTGCATTTAGTTGTATATTTACTGCACGTTCCAACTTAATACATCCCGCCTTTGTCTCCTTGTCTCTGCGATTACACAGACTTATTTAATTTCATCATTCGATTTGCATTTAAAGACAGCGAGTTACAATAATCTGAGATACACTCCTTTTATTTCGTTGTCTTGTGTCGCTCTGGGGGTCTGGGTTTGCACATATGGGGGCATCTTTGGCAGCAGGTCACTTAAGTGACAAGGAACACAGAGTCTAGGGACGAAGAAAGAATTCGGTGCACCCAGAGGTTCCCGCGGCTCCCAGGCTTCCCGCCGGGGCCGGGGCGGTGTGCCTGGGCTGCCAGGCTTTGGGGTCCTGAGAAAAGACTTTCGCATACTGCAGAATTCATTGCGCCCTTCAGCCTAGCCTAGGATGTGCGGGCAGGCTTGCCACGAGCCACGTCCCGGGCCGGGCCTCCTTCGGGTGGCGCTGTCTCAGTTGGCCCAGCGGTTCTTAGCTGTCCCATTGGGTCCCTAGCTTCATCCCCGACTGGAGCCTTTTAGGTTTTTGTGTGTGCGTGTAGATATATATATATATATATATATATACACAGTCTCTGAGGTCGGGCCAAAGAAAAGCAAGTGTATAGTGCCTGCTGGTCTACCTCCTCCCCGACCCCAGCCTCTAGGTGACACACACAGACACACAGACCACCCACAGCCTCCGCAGGCCGCGCGTTACCTGCCAAACGCCGGGCTGATGAAGGCCGGGTGCCGGAACACGGCGGCTCCGAGGAAAGTGCTCAGGCCCAGCGGCGCCCCGCTGGGCGGCAAGCTGGCCGAGCCCGGCGGCGGAGGCAGGCTCGGGAAGGCTGCGGCGGCGGCGGCAGCGGCGGCCGTCCAGGCCGAGTCGAGCGCGGGGTGGTGCGGGGGGAAGGGACTGGCGTCCAGGTACGGGCTGAGCGGGTGAGTGGCCGAGAGCGGCCCGGGGAAAGGCAGCCCCGGTGGGTGGGTCTGCGCGCCCGCCTTCTCGCGCTTGCGCCACTTGGCCCGACGGTTCTGGAACCAGACCTGCAGGGGGGAAGAGAGCCCAGGGTCGGTGCGGCTGCGGTCCCCGGGCGGGCGGACCCCGTGCCCGGCGCGGCAGCGGCTTGCCTAGGGCCTGCGTGCCCTTGCTGGCTCTGAGCACTGTGGCCTGTGCCCGCTTCGCCCCTGCTAGGCCTACACGTTTGGAGTCGCTGGAAAACTGAGTAAGCAGTAAAATGGAGCCCAAACTCAAAGCCATCAGGGAACACAGGACAAGCAAACCCAGACCAGCAGGGATTGTAAGGAGCTCAGTTTTTAAGCCCAGTGCTCAGCGGTCGGCGTGTGTAGAGATGGAAAACCAAGATTTAAAGGTGTGCACTACCCCCTTACTTGCTTCATGGCTCCGGATGCTTGTCATGATTTAAGTAAAGCATGTCAACCTCAGTTTTCTAATCTGTAAAATGGGTATAAGAAAACTTAACACGGTATTTATGAGGAAGGACTAGAAGGAGGCAGGTGGGGCCTGCCTGTCAGAAACGGACAGGCAGCCGGAGAGTGGTGATGTGACTGTTTCCGGGGCATCAGCCATTGTCACCTATCTCAGGTTCACTCCAGAACTGGCAAAATCTTTGTTTTGTATTGAAAAAGGAATCAGAATGGTCGTTCTAATCTCTTCTTTCCAGAAATACTTACTGAACACCTGGGAGCGCTGCTGGGCGTCCTGGGCTTTGGGGAGGGATGAAGGGGAGGCCAGACATGCTCAGGCAATGAAATAGGGGTACCCAGCCTGTTTGGATTCCAGGGGTCCATGCAGGGTCCAGGTCTATGCGAGGTGAGCCATGTAGCCCTACCCTGGGCACACGGGCCTCCACACACATCACAGGCCCTTTCTTTTCAGGGGTGGGGGGAGGCTTACATTGGTGATTTAAATGAGATAGTACTAAACCGGGGGAGGTTTGCAGCCTCAGGTATTTCCCTAATTGTTAATAAGCAGCAGGTTGAATAGAGACCTTCACCTGGAAAGTGGCAGCTCCCGTCATCTAAAAATAACCCCCAGGAACATGTGCCTATTTGTCTGTGACCTGCTCATAACACCCACAGCTGAGGCGACATTCTCCTTTTCTCTGAAGACAACTGTATTTTTAGGACGGGGTGGGGGGATGACTGCACGCAAGTCGAGAGATTCGGAATGCGCTCTAGGGCAACCCAGGGTTGCACCCCGATGTGATCCAGAGGATCCCAGGCGGCTGACCTGGCACACACCCCTACTGACTGATGGCAGCTGGGACTGGTGCTCCCACTCAGCTGGGTTTGGCTTCTGGAAAACCACTCACTCAGGGCAAGGAAAACTCAGACTCCCCATCACTCAATGACCTAATGGGAAGCCGAGCCATCCGTGATGCCCCCAGCCTTCAGACAGGGGACCTGCGCACATGATGGCAGCCCTGCTGGAGATGGTGCAGCCTGGCAAAGCTGGGCTCTGGATGGGGACCTGGCTGGGTGGGCAGCTTTTGTGCATCTGTCTAGACGGGAATATCCGCCACTCCTTGATCGCAGTGAAAGGAGCAAAGGAGGGGAACTGGGGGCAGTGGGGGGAGGAACGCCTTTAAAGAACGTGCAAGCCTTTTACAGACAGATCCCCCTCTTGGCTCAACTGCAATTATCAAGATGTCCCCCTGCAATTCCTCATTATTGAATTAATACCTCTGAGGCCCCCCAAAGGTAAACGAAAGGACTCTAATAATTCATATTCACTTAATTACATCTTCTCCAGTGAATAGAGGGAGAGGAGAAGGGGAGGGAGCGCTCTCTTTCTTTTAAAAAGTTATTTAACTTTCCCACGACTTGTTCCCTTGAGCTGAAAATGTGGAGTTGCTGTCACATGTCTGTTTGACAATGGAGAAATGTGTCAACAGAAAAGAGGGGACAGGCCTCATCATTACCCTCTAATGCAAGAAGCTGTTGTGTAGTAAATGAGCCATATGGAATTTATTGTGCTTTATCAGTGCCTGATTTTGACTGTAAAGTGATTCGCTCAGCTCCTCGCCCAGGGACATCTGTTTTCTGTTGGCCCTCGGGGCTGCCCGGTGTTGATCGTCTCTCAGGTTATGAGGCCTGGGTTCGGAAATGCACTCTGGTATGGGGCTGCAAACACCTTTAATAGCATTGCACTCACTCCCTATTAGATCAATGTGGGCTCATTGCTATAAAAAATGGGAAATCAAATAGCATTAGCCAGCTCCTTGTGCGGGGCGGGAGGGGAAATCAAACAGCATTTTGCCTTCAAATGGCCCTGTTTGTTCTAGCACTAAGTGGGCTTTTATGAAGCCCGATTGGAGACTTAATCGCAGCCAAATACCTGCTTGGAGCTGAGCGGATTTGTCTAACAACCAAATCCATGCTCCATCCTATTATTTCAATCAGGAAAAGCCGGTCAGTGGATTGTTTCCTACAGGGACCTTAGGACTGGGGGGCTCTTACACGCCAGTCTCAAGGACCCCCAAAACTCTTGGGCTGCTTCCTGACTCTTTCCTCAGATTCCCAAATCCAGAAACGCTCTCCTCCTACATTTTAAATACTTCTGTGTGTGTGTGTGTGTGTGGAGGGGGGTGCTTGGGTCTACTTTTCTGACTTTCTGTTTCTCTCCATTTCACGGAGGGGGCAGGGTCTCCATCTCCCACATCCATCAATCCATCCCTCCTGCCCCGCCCCACAGACACCCACCCCACCTGGCCAGCGCCATTCCACCCCCCTCGGTGCAGCTCACCTGGACTCGGGCCTCCGTCAAGTCCAGCCTCATGGCCAGTTCCTCCCTACGAGAAAGCAACACAGAGAGGTGGTCACTGTGGGCCCCAGCAACCCCCTGTCAGCCACTTGCCCTCCGTGGGGGGCTGCCACCCAGTCCCCCCCCACACCCGGCCCAGTGCTTGTTCCCAAGCCCATGAACAGGGAGGGGCCTCCCTGGGCGCGTGGGCGGGAGGGGTGCGGGTACCCACTATGAGTTTGAGAACCACATCCTATAGCAACAGGGCGCACACCATTCTGTATTCAGGTGTGGCCAGCGAGGACCCGAGTCCCTGGGTCTACAAACCTGTGGGCTTGGGTTCTTGCTCATTCTCAGCTCGGAGCAAGACACGAAACACCCACAGCACTGCTGCCCACTTTCCTCCTTGGAGGCAGTGGACAGCTCAGCACTGAACCAAAAAAAAAAAAAAAAAAAAAAAAAATCCCCAGCCTGTTGGCTTCACCATGCCTTTTGCTTTCTAAAAATTTTTCCCTCCTCTGTCCAGCTCCATGCCTTTCCCTCTTTCCCTCTTGCCCCTGCTTGCCCCATCCCCCGCCCCCCTCAGCCCCTTAGGTCACAGCCGGCATTAGCCTCTGGAGATACGTTAAGCTTGTTAAGAGTTCAGTGGGGGTAATTTTTCGATTAAACAAAATTCTGCGCACCTCCTGACTCCAGTGCCCACTACCAACCCTGCCCATCTCAGGGGAAGTCAATTTAGCTGAAACCCTACCCCGTCATTGGAGTTATTACTGCAACAATTAAGGCAAATAGGAAACCATTAGGATGCTGTAAAAACGGCTTACGACCTGTTTACCGAAAATATGAGCGCGCAGAGAATAATCGGCTCTACCTTGTTGATGAGAAAGAGTGGGGGCTGCCCTAGCCTGGGACCCGGCTCTGTGCTGTGGCAGACCGCCAGGCCATGCGGGAATGCACCAGGAGCAAACTGCCTCACCGAGAGCGCTGGCCATTGCAGGCCGAGTCCTCCATCCTGGGCAGCCCAAGCTGCACTCCCCAGCCGGCTACTCTCTGGAGCCAGGAGGGAGGGGGCAAGGGCGGAAGGGGTGTGTGTAGGGTGACCCCTCCTCACACTCTGCTTCCCCCTGCCCCAGGCTAAGAAAAGGGCCTATGGTGGGGATGCCAACTGACACCAACTCGGGCTCTTTTTTTGAAACACACTTGTATGGGAAACGCTGAAAGTTGGCGGGCCAGCTAGTTATTTGATGGTGTAAACCAATTTTCAGATTCTGCTTCTTTGTCAAAGGTAAGGGTGCCTTGGGTCACCTGAGGCACAACCATCAAGTTTAAGAGGTGAGACTCCACATCAAATCTATTCTGTGTTTCTGGGTGGGAGAGTTTGACAGTTGCTGAAGCCAGTCCATTTTGGAGTTGGTTCAGGCCTGCCGAGCCCAAGCAGCCATTTCTGCTTGGGTTCAAAGGGTTAGGCAGCTTTCCCCCTTCCAAAATGCACATTGAAAAGCTGCACACGTCTCCTGCGAAGGCGCTGCTGGCGCTTGACAGACAGCTGAGCCACACACACACACACACACACACAAGGCTTTTCTCTCTGGGATAGGTCTTCCCTGACCCCAGCTCCTCACCTGAGCCAAGGCCTTGGCCTTGGGATGAGAGAAGACCCTCCAGTTGCTTAAATAAACCAGAGCCTACAGAGAGGGCCAGGCATCCGGCGGGCACTTTTTTTCTCGGAGAAGCCCGGAGCGGAGCTGGTGGAAAGTGGAGGGTGACCAGGCCCAGCAACAGACCTAGACCCTGGTCCCAACAGAAAATACCCCCCCAACTGCTTCACCCACTGCCTGCCGGGCTCTCAGGAATCACTGTGCCACCGGAAATCGACTTCCGTTAGACACGCGATAGGCTCTGTGCACGTGGTGTGTGTGTGTGTGTGTGTGTGTGTGTGTGTGTGTGTGTGTGTGTTTGCTGGCGCGGGGTGGAGGGTGTGTACAGAGAAGAGGGGACGCTTCTGGCTGGCTCCCCTCAGGTGTGTGGACACTAACCGTGTTGAGTTTCGATTTGCCTGGGCTATCTCAGGAACACTCCAACAACAGAACTACGATCTCTTAAAAGACAGGCACGGGCCCCTTCTCAGCTGGGAACAGCGACACCAATACCCACCAGGCTCCTGGGGCACCAGATGGGGTGGCCAGCGCACAACACAGCAGCCTAAAACAGCCCCAGCTTTGAGGTGGCTGCGCTACCATGGCAGCGCGCTCTCTGCGTCTTGCCCAGGACCTGGCCGGCCTGCTGCGCCCTGAGCTGAGCGTGCGCAAGCGGGGGTGCACTGCTTCCAAGGTGGTGTGTTCCGGTGCTCTATGGAGAGGCTGGGTTTTGGTTTCTTCCTAACTAAAACTTGGCATTGGAAATTATTAAGCAGGAATGATTCTGCAAAGAAAAGAAACCAGCCCAGCCAGCCTAAATTTAAAACTTTTGGAGCGTCCGTGATGGCAGAGGGTAGTCTGGGGTGCTCAAAGTTGAGAGTATTGGGAGCGTGCGCCTGGCTCCAGTCTGAGAGAGAAGTGTCTCCCCCAAGGCCGGCGGGGCTGCCCACCCAGCATCCTTCTCTGGGGCCCCACCCGCACCCTTCCCCGCCCCCACCGCCGCCATCGTGCCCACCTTGTGCTCAGCCATACCTGGTGAAGACGTCCGGGTAGTGCGTCTTCTGGAAGGCCCGCTCCAGTTCCTCCAGCTGGTAGCTGGTGAACGTGGTGCGATAGCGCCTCTGTTTGCGCTTCAGCAGCCCCTCCTCTGAGTCGCTGCCCGCAGACAGGCACACGCTGTCCTCGCCGTCCTTGCCCTCGGTGTCCTCCGGGTGCAGCAGCAGCTCTTCCTTGGGCGACAGTTCCCCGCCCTCGGTGGCCACGGCGGCTGCGGCTGCGGCGGCGGCGGCCACTGCCCCGGTGGCGGCCACAGCGCAGCGCCGGGGTTCCTTGAGCAGCGTGCGGGCATCGTCCTCCAGCAACTCCTCCTCGTCGTCCTCCAGCAGCTCCTCTTCCTCGTCCTCGTCCTCATCCTCCTCTAACAACTCCTCCTCTTCGTCCTCGGCACCCGTGCCGCCACTGGCCGCTGGGCCGCTGCCGGGGCCGCCGGTGGCACCGAGGCGCTCGTCCGGGTGCGCGACGCCCCCCGGGCCACCGAGCTCGTCCAGCGCGGGCGGCGGCGGCACGAAGGGCGCCCCGTTCTCGCGGTACGACTTGCTGCGGCTGATGCTCACCTGCGGCGCCTGGCTGATCTTGAGCGTGTCCCAGGCGGCGGCGGCGGCGGCGGCGGCCACCGCAGCCCCGGCCCCGTCCGGCCTCTCCCCGGGCCGCGCGGTTGGAGGCGGCGGTGGCGGCGGCGGCGCCTCCCCCCGGGGCCCCGCGCCGGCTGTAGCCGCAGCTGCTGCTGCCGCCGCCGCCGCCGCCGCTGCTGCCGCGGCGCCCTGGAGGAGGCGGCCCCCGCCGGGACCGTACAGGCGCCGCAGCTTGGGCGGCAGGTGCAGCTCTGCCTCGAACTGGGCGCTGCTGCCCTTCGGGGAGCCTGCGGGCAAGGGAGAGCGGTCAGCGCGCCGGGCGGCGCGGGCGTCCCCCACCCAAGCTGCTGTTCCGAGCCAGCCCGCCGCGGCTCCCTCGGCACCTAGGCCCCGGGCGCGCACCGTCCCGGAGCCACTAGACTTCCCCTGACTGCCTTCCCTACTTTTTCTGCTCTTTCTTTTCTTTTTACAACCTTCTCTCCTTCTTTCCTTTGCTTCCCCCCCCCTTTTTATTCTGTTTCCTTCCCCCCTTGTTCTGTCCCCGCTCTCACTTTTCTCTCCTCCTTCTGCTACCTAGTCCCCTCGCTTGCCCTCCCTTACATCTCTTCCTCTCACCTTCTCCCCTGTCTCCAGCTCTCTCCTCTCCCCTTTCCTTCCTTCTTGCTTGCTTTACCTCTCCTCTCGCTTTTTCTTCTTTTACCTCCCCCCCACCCCTGCCCACTCTGCTCCTTTTTTGGCTTCCCATTTCAAGTCAAGGGAGCCTCCAAAAGCGTCAGACAACTTCGAAAACCAAGATCATGTTGTCCACCCTGAAAACTTTATGCACGGCTTCTGCCCGTTGCTCTGCCACCGGGCAAGGCTGGCAAGAAGGGCACTACTCTGCGGGCGACCCCTGAGTGTGTAGGGAAGGGCAGTCCTGTAGCCCTGAGCTCTGGTGGCCGCGCCCCAGTAGCCTGCAGAGGGAGGGATAAAGGCTCCCCGCATCAAACTGCGCTGCCTGGTCAACAACCCTCCGGGAAGGCCTGGGCTGGGGACAGAAGTGAGGTGCGACAGGCACAGGCCGTCCCTTCCTTGGGGTAACGCCTGGCACAGGTGCCATTGCAGGCTAAAACAAGGAAAGGAGAAGAGTCTGGTTTATTTTAAACAGCCCTGTTCCGCACTGGCCGCCTTCTGTCTTGCAAGTGGCGCCGCCGGCCCGCTGGTGTTCAGAATTTAAAAGAAACCAACAGTTTTTTTCCTGCCACACCTCCGCACCTAGCTCAAGAGGAAACCTGAGCGTAACAGGTTCGGGGCAAAACAGTTGCCTGAATGAATCTTTCGTTTCAGAAAACAAAGCATTTGAAACCTCTGACTGCTCAACTCTTAAAAAAAAAAAAATAGCATAGCAAAAAAAAAAAAGTATCCAGAAGCCACACAGTGCATCCCCATCAGACACAATACGGAGCGTTGCGGGAAGCTCGTGGGGAGATTTTATTTTTGCAAACCTTGGTAACCAGCAAGCTACAATTTTCTTTCTTTCTTTTCTTTTTTTTTTTAAAAGAAGAAGACCGCATATTAAGAAATCTTCCAAAGAGGAAGGGACCAGGCCACCCTGCCTGGAGAAGCATCTCCAAGAGATTTTGAGTTTCTCGGCTTCACCAAGTTTTCCTCACAAGGGGTCTGCAAGGGGCATTTGGGTGTTTCTGGCTTGCTGGCCCTTTTCAGAACACACCCAGTGCAACCACAGGGGACATTGAAACCAGCCTGCGACCAGCGCAGGAGAACCTATGGGCCCCCAGAAGCGAAGCAGGGCCAGCCCGCGGGGACGTGTTGCTCACTCTTTGAGGCATCAGGCCTAAGAGTTTGTGGCTTCTCCTTCCTTGCTCTCCAATTTGACAACCCCAGACCCCTGACCCCCTGATACCAAACATCCGAAGCAGTGCCCAGAGCCCTTTGCAGGTGCCACGGCGGCGGCACAGCCTTACCTTGCAGGACCTTTTCTTGGTCGGCGCGGCTGGCCAGCGGGGCGGGCAGGCTCGGTGCGCTTCCCAGCAGCCGCATCTTGCACGGGCTCCTCCGGCCCAGGATGCTGTCGATGCAGTAGGAGGAGAGCAAAGTTGGAGATTTACTTTTGCACTCGGGCCTCTCAGGGCAGCCCTCCTCCTGGTACTGATTGCTCATGGCTAGGGCTTTTTCTTTTTTTCTTTCTTTCTTTCTTTTTTTTTTTTTTTTTTAACCCCCTGGGCACAGAGAGCGGACCGCTGGCTGCCTCTCCAGGCAGGTGGGATGGATGGGTGTGTGTTGTGGGTGGGGCTAGATGGCTGGTTATAACGGATCTTATTGCGATCTTTGTGCCTCTCTGCCTGCCTTGTTTGCCGGCTCCCGGCTCCCGTCCTGCCCGCGGCCGGAGCTCGCCCTCTCCGCTCTCAGGACAAGCGGTAACAAGTGTAGTGAGCAGAGGGCGCGGAGCTCTGGAGTCTCTCTCCTCCACGTGCTGAGAGGCGCTCTCTGATAGGCTCTCGCCAGAGGCCGGGCTGCGTCGGGCTGTGGGTGAAGCGCAAAGCCGGGACTGGATTCCGGAGAGGGTGGCGGGAAAGGGGGTGCAGTACGCAGCACAGTCAATTCTGTCCTCTCTCTCTCTCTCTCTCTCTCTCTCTCTCTCTCTGACTCACTCACTAACAACTTTCCAACTTTGCCCTCATCTTCCTACGGCTCCTCCTTTAACCCCTTTGTGTTGACCTGCAGCTCTGGCAAATGCGGGGCGATTTCGAGGGTGCCGCTGGGGCGTGGCGTGCCCCTTCTCCTAGCCGCTCCCTGGAGGTGAAGCTTTGTGGTTCCCATTCTCACCACTTTGACACTTGCAAAGGGGATATTGCCCTCTCTGGGCAGCCGTTGCCTGCCCCTAGGCCAGACGTGCCCCCCCCAGGTGCCAGGGGGACAGGCTTCTGCGAACAGGTGCCCTCTGGGCAACGCTGTGTGTGTGCCTTAAGTTTCGGGTTTCCTTAGTGGTCCAACGGCCGTTGCTTTCTGAGTAGTAGCATCCCCCAGATGTTCTTGTCTCACTTGGAAACTCAGGAATGGGATAAAGCCCCCAGAGCCCCGGCTCCACCAAAGGCGCCCGGCCTTCTCTAGAGCACCTGCAGGGTGGAAAAGGCGTTGGCAAGTGTCAGCTACGAGGAGGGGGCGCCTGAGCGCTGTCCGGGGGCTCCCCGCTTACCCCCAACCCTCTGCCTTTTCTTCCCACACTTGAGGCTGCTCATCCTCGAATCGGGCCTCGGAGGGCTCTGAGCTCCCAGCAGGGGAAGGAATCCGAACTCGGCTTCCATCCGATCTAAGCGTCTAAAATTTCCAAGTCTCCTGACCCCGGCTCTCCTTAGCGAAGGTGAGAGAGTGCGTTCCTCCCCGACAGCTTGCTCCCGGCCGAGGCTGCCAGCCAAGCCCCCCGCTCCTGGTGGATCCGGGCTGATCCCGAGCGAGACGCGGCCAAGGACGTCCTCCCAGCTTGCCTGCCAGCGAGGCGTGCGGGAGCAGCAGGGGCTCCGAGGCCGGCGTGGGGTGAGAAAGGTGGGTGGGAGAGGGGTCGGGAAGGGAATCCACGCCGGGTTTTCCTCTCTCAACCCCTTCAATGTGTCAAAGAGAAAAGCGTTTTTACAAAGGATTACATTTGAATCACTTACAGTCAGTATTTAAAAATACAAGGATGCATAACTGATTCACTGCTTCCCCCAGCCGTAAACAGCTACCTAGCTTTTGGATGCTAGTGGCTGGGTGGGAGATCGCGGCGGCTTGGCAGGGCTGTTCTAGGCAAAACTTGAGGGGGTGAATGGTTGAGAAAAGGCACAACAACGTTGCGACTATTAATGCCCATACTACTGCTGCTGTTAAAAGCAAAAGAACAAGATTTCTCTCTGTATCCCTCCCTGTCTCTAACTAACTGTGTCTGCTTCTTAGTTTTTCATCCGTTTTCCCCCTTGAATGATGCGGATGGGGAAGGCAGAGGAGAGCCCTACTCTCGCTGACATTTGAGATTCTTTTCAGCCCTCGCGGAGGCTCCCAGGAACCTGGCCTGGTCTCCTGCCTTTGCCTGCCTTTCCCTTGTCTGGATCCTCCCCAACAGTTTGGTATTTTTATTTTGCTTCATTTAGATGGAAACTATGTATTCCCTCCCTCTTCCCTCACCTGGTCCCAGAGTGCAAAGCTCTCTGATCGCAACCAACAGCCTTAAGAATCTTCGTTAGCCTAGCCCTGACCCTGGCGGGCATCCCTGTGGCTGCTGGGAGAGAGTGAGCTGGGGCCACTTTCCCTCCCCATAGGGCCCGGCATCGGAAATCCGCAAGACCTGGCTGCCGGTGGCTCCGTGCCTTCAGAGCCGTCTCCACGCGCAGGGAGTGGGCTGAAAAGGAATCCAAAAAAGCTTGTGTTAAGCAAAGATGAGACACAAATGCATAGCTCGTTTCTGAGAGTCCGGCGAGGCTTCGAATCTTGGTGGAAGAGTTCTTCGCCTCCATCCCCCACCTCCCCCTCCTGCAGCTGTTCCGCTTTTAAAAGAAATCGGACTTTCTGCTGGGGTGTATTCTAATTTTAATCACGCACTGTAAAAGGGAAGGTTAGCTTAGAACTTCTGATTCTGATTTAATGATCCTTGGATTTAAATCTTAATTCTACTGATGGAATCTAAAGCGTTCGTTTGGGAGACCTCCGTGGAAACCCTTGCTGTACTTGTTGTGCTGTTTTGTTTTATTTATTTTGCGTCTTTTCCAATTAAGCTCCCCAAGTGAAGATGCTAGTGGAAGGCAAGCCCGTTCACTTCGCGGAGGAGGGCCTGACCCAGCTCCCTGTATGCCCAGAGATCATCTTTGTCACCATTCGGTACCCAACTGGAAAATCTACAAATGACCCTTGGCTCTTTCCTGGGGAATACATTTTAAAAAAAAAATACGGAAAACTTTGGAACGGTACTGAATAGGAAGGCAGCCTGCTGGCATGTCCACAGGGGCTAGTCAGAATACAAAATCCAGACGTGTGTGTGTGTGTGTGTGAGTGTGTGTGTATGTTTCCTGTATGCCATTTTACAAAATCAAAGGATTCCTCTAACAGCTGGGGAGAGTTTGATGGGTGTATTGAGTAAGTAGACCTTTAGGACTTGGGCTGCTGGGCTCTGGAGACCACAGAGGTTAGCCTGTGCTTGGCCAGCAAGATGACACCTCTTAGCACTTCATTCTCTTCCCTTTGTTTTACTCACAATCAAAAGCGAATGCATCTTAGTGATACTACTATTCATGTTTGTACTTTGTTCTTTGCAACTTTTGTCTTCTCCAATCTTTGGGGCCTTTAACTATTGGGGTTCATTTCTAGGACCATTTGGGAAACAATGCTTGGGGGGGGTTCATCTGCTCTTGAAATGCATCACTAAAATAAAAAATGACAACGATGAGTGGACGGCAGGGTCAGAAATGTTTAAAACTGTTGTTTGTGGTGAGAAATGGGGCTGGTCCCCAAAACTGGAAGTAAAATTACCTAGAAGTGCAAGGAAGAAAGTTTTTCACTTCTGTGATGAGAGCTAATTCCACATTGTGATTTTGAAATTATATTTGCAAGAAATGTGGGATAAGGGGGTGGCAGTTGGATGTCATTATGCGAGGGGGGGATGTTTGGAGGCGAGTTAACCTCACACACTTTTCATTTGAGATGTTTTAATTTATTGTGAAATATACACATAGATAAATAAAGCTGTAATGGGTTTTCAGTCACACCGGATGGCTCAGGTCCCCTTGAATTATGTTCAACCTCTTCAAAACATATATTTAAACAATAGAAATAAACTTCATTGGAGTTTGGCGACCAATTTGGACGCCATTGGAAGGGAAGACAATAAGTTCTGATTACACGCAAGGATGCTCTGTGATGCGTTATCCCCTTTGCCAAGTCATTTCGCCGTTTTATTTATTTATTTATTTTTTTTAACAAACTTTCATTCATTTATGGTCTTCCGCAACCTGCTAATTTAACACTGGAGCGCGTTATTGCAGTGTTAGGAGGAGAGAAAGAGGGAGAGAAAACAACAATACTGCAATGATCCAAATGATACAGTAGAATTATAGCAATTATAGTTCTACTTGTGGAAGAAAACCTTGCTGAGATCAGGCAAACAAACTGAAGGCGTGTGAGGATAACGAGCCTGCCGATTGACAGCCGGCGCGGGAAAGAGCCGAGGGCACCGACACAAAGATTTGCGGCCCCCCTGCCCCCCTCAACTCCAAGCAGCGAAGGTTCACCTGCTCCAAGGGTGCTTTCAGTCTTACCCACTGAGGGTGTGGAAATCTGTTAGGAGAGAATGTGCCGTAATCCGCCTGCCGAGAACCTGTGCCTTGCCTTCCCAGGCCCCTGGCCGTCCTCCCTTTTCTACCTCTCTCAGTTCTCTCCAGATTGGGGGGCTCGGGCAATGGAGGGCGTTTGTTGTTGCATGTGCCACGGAGCAGCCCGTGCCAGGGCCCGTGGGGGACTTGAGCACATGGATGTCCTGGGCAGCTTTCCTCCAGTTACCTACTGCTTCTCTTTCCGCTGCGGCCCTTCGCCCAAGAGGTGGGTCCCCCCCCCCCCGCGGGGCTGGGCTCTGCGGGGTGTTGGAAAGTGGCTTTTCGGGCAGCATCCTGAGGACCATGGGCTGAGTCCCCAAGGTTCGGATCTGGTTGTGTGGCTCTGACGGTCGCACTCGTTCAGTTCTCTTTATTTGCAAACTCCGCCACTTTATGTCACTGTCAGTGCGGGGGGGGGGGGGGGGATGGGAGCCGGAGCCAGAAAAAAAAGCTAGGGAGAAAAGAGTCTCTCCCCCATTCCCCAGCCGCCCCTCATCTGGTCCCTCCAGGCGGCCACTGAAGCTTTCTTAAACATCGCTCCTGGCACAAAGCTGGATGGGACGGTTGGTCGGTTGGTCGCAGCCTCAGACTGGGGGGCGAGGGGTTGGCTCCTCCCAGGGGAGAGAAACTAGTGGTCGGGCTTTGGCCTGTCACCTCGAGTGCCTCGGCGACCCCCCCCTCCACTCCGCCCCCCTCCGCTGCACCCATCCCCCTAGTTTTGCAGACCCCACAGGGAGAACTTCTCCAGGTCCTGACACCAACACCATCTGCTTTCTTTTCTCCCGCCTGACGCCGGGCCTCTGGCTGCCTCCGGGGTCAAGGCGC